GATTTATAAAGTAAACATCGCTGACGGGGTTCCCGTCAGCGATGTTTACATCCCGTCAGCGATGTTTTCATCGCTGACGGGAATCAAGACACGCTGACGGGAACATCGCCGACGGGAATTCCCGTTAGCGATAAAAACAACGCTGACGGGAGTTTCCCGTCAGCGATGTTGCCGTCAAGGAAACCCCAATTTCCACTAGTGATCACCTTCTCTCTGTCTCGAGCTGTGTGTGGATACCTATAGGTATTTTTAGATGCCTACACCTGACACTAAGATTCACCACAAAAATATATTAAAAATACCCAATAATGAATAAAAGAAAAAATAAAAATTTTATTCTTTAATAACATCAATAAATAAAATTCCATCATCCTCAAATATTCAATACTAATAACAAGAGTTAATATCCTAATTGTTCCAAAGAAAAATACATGAAACTATCTAAAACAAATTAAAATAAAAAGTTTGGAGAAGACACATTCTTTCATCTCTAATTATCGTCAAAAAAAGACTCGTGCTACCCCCTCCTAATCTTGCATGGATAGCTTGAAAATTTTTAAAAAAATCACATAATTAAGAAATATCAATTAAGAAAATATTATCTTATTAAGTAAAAATCATATTTTTAGTGCAAGTAGTCAATCATAAAAGTATATAAGAGATTTTACAAAAAATAATTACCTAGTGTTGCACACGTTCTCGAGTTTGAGGAGTCAATGAAGGTTATTTCCTAAAAAAAAGTTCTTGCATAGCTTTCACTTAAGACTCCAACTTAGACATCCTTTATTGTTGTTGTTCCTGCTCATCTAAGCGTTGTTGAAGCATCTGGTTTTTTTTCCTTTTCTTCTATAACCTGTGCTTCCAGATCAGATCGACTAGGGGGCGATCATCTCAAATCTTTCAAAGTAGTCCCGCCACCAAATACAGTGATGTGACCATGACATTGCTTCCCCCAGATTTTCTCAACTATCTCAATGTCTGAAAGTGAAGGGTTTCCTTACTTGACTTGGACAATTTCATCCTATAAAAATTAAATTCATATGTTAGTATTATATAATGCATCATTATCAAACTTAAAGACATATTCTATTTACATATTTAAGCTTCTCTTAAAAATGTATCAAGCATTAGTTTCTTAAGAGTCGAGCCACCTTTTAACATAAAAAGATATTCTTTGTAAAAGAAAATTGACAGCTAATTTGAGGAGTGATAAAGAATAGTGATGTGATTGTTGCATGTGAAACGATGAAGCCTTATATCGTTTGACGTTGATGTGAACATATAGAAGCCAGTGATTTCATTTCTTTGTTGTTAAGATCATGTTTGGAAACTTTTGATTATAATCCACTTGCCTTACAATCCACTAATGGATTATAAGCCAAGTGGTTTATAAGCCAAAGTGTTTGGTAACTTTAGTAGACTATGATCCACTTAGTGGATTAAAATGACCAAAAAACATTTAATGGGATTGGAGAGAGAGAAATGACGCTTGGAATTTCCTAAAATGATGAGGGGTATATTGGTCATTTACTTGGTTAAACCTTGTGGGTTATAAGCCACTAAAAAATAAGCTAGGTACCCCAGCTTATTTTTTAATGCCTTATACATCAAAATATGTCACTTGCCAAATATGTCGAAGTGGCCTACAAGCCACAAAAGTGGCCACTTGCCAAACATGCTCTAAGTCTAAAGAAACCGTAGCCCTCAAAGTTCTGTAAAATCCTAACTCCCATCATAAATGCGCACTTTTAAGAAGTAGTTTACTAACCGACTAGAACTAGTATGCATATTATTAAGATCAAGATTGTTATCTTCATACACTTAATTAGCTTCAAGTTCATGCTCACAGCCTCTAAAATTTTCGCAAAGAACTGAAAGTTCAACTTGCAAATTCTGAGATGTTACTACAATTACGAATGGAGCTCCAGCTTGAATGGAAAAACACTCCTTTCAGGTCCAAATATATACTTACCGAGCTATAAAAGCAGATGTTGCTGCAAAATGTGGCCGATGCACTAATCTTGGAGCACTTCCATAGTATGTCATTTTCCACAATGCTCCATGTTTTACCAAGAAGTTATAACTCCTTGGCAATTGATTAAATGGCCAGGGAGTATGAAGGTCCAAATATATACTTACCGAGCTATAAAAGCAGATGTTGCTGCAAAATGTGGCCGATGCACTAATCTTGGAGCACTTCCATAGTATGTCATTTTCCACAATGCTCCATGTTTTACCAAGAAGTTATAACTCCTTGGCAATTGATTAAATGGCCAGGGAGTATGACCAGTCCATAGATCAGTCACATAAAACTTTATCCAAGCATTAAATAGACCTATGCCAAAATGCCAGAACCAAGATGACAATGACAAACATTAAAAGGGAAAATCATTAAAAATGACAACAAAGAGCTAACTAAATGATCAAATCAACCTACACCAAATAGATGTACTGTGGCAGTAGCTTTTTATCAACATGATTTTTTACAGGAAATTTCAACAACAGAAAAGGACACCTTGAAAATAATTTGTGCACACAGATTATCCCTTAAGCCAACAAAAATGACAGCTTCAGTACATAAACATCAATCATAAATCCTATACAAACATTCCATGCGTTGTCAAAGTTAAAATTCCTCATATTTACAACAAACAACATTACACAGTTCACCAATGCAACATATATTAATTAGACTCTCCTAATATATAAGCATCCAGCATTATTGGCAACAACACGAAAATAAGTAGTTTATTGAAAGAAAGAAAAAGAGTCATTTAATCTTGAAGCCACATCGAAGTTTTATAAACATTAGCATTGGAAAAACACAACATTGACAAAATTAACCTTTACCAAGATTACACATTTAATTAATTAGCAAAATTAACTTAAAAACACTATAAAGGGTGTGAAATTAACCTGATACTCATCCCCAAACTCCTGATTAAAAGAGTGTGAAAATATACCAAACAACGAATTAATCAACGTTGCAGGGGCGACGATTGCTGGGCGACGACGTGCGGGGAGGTTGTCGGGCGACGACGTTGCTAGCGAACGCGACGACAGCTAAAGCTTGGCGTCGACGAGAGGAGCAGAGGCGTAGTCCCTGAGCGCGACAGCGGCTTAGAACGGAGACGGTGGCGGTGCTGGACTGACGTCGACGAGAGGGGGGACCGAGTTTGATCAGGTGACGTCGTTGCCTGGGCGACGACCGACGATCGCTAACGGTGGGGCGTACGCATCGACGAGAGTTGCAGCTGCGAGGGCGGTTGGGTGCGGGTGGCGGAGTCGAAACAGGCGCGTTTGGGGCGGGCCTAACTCAGCGCAGCAACGATCGGGAGCTGGAGCAACCGCACTGGCAAAGTGGCAAGGGCGCCGCTAGGGCAGGGGCGTGGCTAGGGCAGGGGCGCGGCGAGGGTTTTGTTGAAGGTGAATTAAAAAGAGAGAATAGTATAATTTTTAATTAATCTAGGGTTTAGTTTAATATATATAGGTGTGGTTAGAAGGTGATTTGGGTTTCGGGTTATTCATATTAATTTTGATAACTAATCCTGTTATTATTAGGAGTTATGATTAATGAAGGTAATGGACCCCTTCGTTTTTAAGGAGACCCAATGATGACGGTGTTAGGATTAAATTAATGAAGGGATTTGAAAACCGTTATCCCATATCACATCATTATATAATATTTGTAATCACTCGACGAATGCTTTAAAACCCCGTCGTTATTATATGCACATTAACAACGGTCAACTAGTCTATTTACTAATTTTGGTCGTTAAATACCGTACTTCTTGTAGAACCAAAACTTCACGCACTCGATTAAAATTAGCAATGTGTCCCTATAAACCATCTATAAACAATGGTGAATTCTACCAAACTAAGATACGCAATATTACATACAAAAATTCAACAAGGCTATACTCTGTTTTCATTCCAGATTAACTAGAAACAGTCATTGACTTGAGCATTGGACAGAGGAAGAAATTACCTTTGGTGCCTCTAGCCTTTATTATTTGTGTAGCAAAGTATATATCAAGACACTCAACTAATGGTTAACCATCAAAGGAAATTAAGAGACCCAAAAATTAAGTTTAACTCCCTCAAATCACACCTTAATTTTTTGTCATCAACAACTAGCTATACTTGTAGACTTGTATTATACAAGTTGTATACTACTTGTCGAAAAATCAATCCTTTTTGTCAAAGATTGCATTTTCTTCTGCAAATTAACATTTTCGGACAAATGACATATTTTTTTTTTTTGACGATGAGCATCCTAACTAGGATCTGTATCGAACAAGCGTGCAATTTGTTACGTTTTGCAGCAGTATTTCTAGATTCCATCTTAAACTCTCTGACATTCTTTTTCCAGCGAGTTCGTTCCGGAGACTTGAGCAACAATTTGCAACTACAAGAAGAGGCGCACAAATAAGCATATGAGCATTTGTTATGATTAATGATTATGCATACGTGATAATGTGACATAGATATGCTACAAATAAGCATATGAGCATTTGTTATGATTAATGATTATGCATACGTGATAATGTGACATAGATATGCTACGAGTAAATGATTGATTTATATCTAACTTAATGTGACATAGATATGCTACGAGTAAATGATTGATTTATATCTAACTTTTATAGCTTTTAATTTAGTGGGTGTTTGGTTGCACACTTTTTGAGAAAACTTTTCTCAAAATATCTAACAATGGCAAATTTCTAATTAAAAGTTTTCCAGAGATTTCTATAAATTGTGTTTGGTTCAACAAAAAATTTACAGAAATATTTTCTATAAAATATCAAAACCTACCAAATTTTACAAAAAGCAATTTCCTCTCAAAATGAGAGGAAATCACCAGAAATATGACACATACCATATTTAATTAAAAACCTACCAAATCTTGTTATTTTCTATTAAGTTATGAGTCATTTTCTTGTTTTGAATCAAACAAGCAAAGTAAAAAAAAACAAGAAAATTGGTACTTTTTGATTTCTCAAAACTTTTCCTATAATTTTTTTAAGAAATACAAGGAAATCATATTTTAGGTGGAAAACATTTCCTATAATTTCTAGAAATCGAACCAAACACCCCCTTAGTTTCAGTTGCAAATAATCTCCGGACGTATTTAGATAAGAGCAATAGTAATGTACAAAAAGGGTAATTGACAACAATATTCATTGAAATTGGATAAAATCTCTCTCCCATGGAAAGTAATAAAAGCTAATTGATGCAACGGAAATATTCTAGAAGAAGGCAATTTATGAATCTTAATAATAAAATATTTGTTACCAAGTAAGAATCAAGTATGCTATAAAAGGAGGGTACGTACGTAGGGAAGGAAGCTGTGCTTCAATCTTCATCCATGGCTTTGGCTTTGAGAAAATCAATCTCCCTATTTTTTCTTATAATATTCTCGCTCGATGTTCGTGCGAGAGGAGTTGAGAGTAGATGGAGCATGAAGGGGGAGGAAGACTTGGAGCTTGAAAAACAGCTGAAGGTGCTTAACAAGCCCCCTGTAAAATCATTTCAGGTACACCTTTTTTAACTTCAAATTAATGTCACAGTTCATTCTTCTAATTTTCCTCTAATTAAATCTGATCCTACATTCGTAGTAACAGTTATAAGATTTCTTATGCTCAAACAAAATATCAGCAATAATTATATATGTTCGCAGTGAAATCTTTGAGCAGTAGCTTTTTAAATACCAATGCCAATCAAATACCATTTAACATCTTTATAAATTTTGTCTGTGGGGCTTCATTTATTTTATGCACTGATGATGGAGGTTTATTATTTTGCAGTCTAAAAGTGGACATATTTATGATTGTATTGATATCTACAAACAGCCAGCCTTTGACAATCCTCTTCTGAAAGATCACAAACTTCAGGTACAAATTGAATTCCTACATTCTGAACTTGGTTATAATTTTTAGGTTGCAGTATTCAGACCCTACTTATATAGGATATTCATAAAAAGCATTTGCATGGACGGCCTATTCATACCTAAAGGAAGTTGGCTGAAGTACGTACATATTCGTATCTGATGGCATGCATACTTACAAAGAGGTTAAACTTCTTGGTTCTTTAGCTCATTTTTGTGACTGACATATTATATGATACCATGGGGAAAAAACGAGAAATTTGCATTATGGGAAACCATTTCCTATAATGCTTTTCTTTTTTGTGTTTAGTTCACACTTGGAAAACCAAGAGAGAGGGTGAGGTGACACTCTTCTATTGGTTAATTTGATCCCAATTCTAAGAAACTCATTTTGGGGCCTTTTTAAAGAAATGGTTGGAAACCATTTGTGGAGGTTTCTTCACTCTATTTGCTTTTCTTTTATTTCTTTGGAAATGATCCAAATTTGTATTTCTTGTATTTCTTTGGAAATGAATAAAAATGTAAGAAAAGTAAATTTACAAGTAACAACTTCCCATTATTTCAAAGACTGTTAGCTATGTAACCTTATGGCCTCTTATTATGAAGTAAGTACAGAATAGGCTAAATGTACGTTTACTGAAAAGATAAGACAGACATACGAGGAAAATTTAACCAGTAAAAATGTATCTAGTTTGCTCTAAAATAAATTTAATAATAATTAGTTTATAGAAGGAGGTAGTATACGGGTGCCATTTCGACGAAGAAGAGAGAGATGACAAAGAGATCCTCATTTAAATCGATCGGGTCTGCTTAAAAAATTATATGTTTTAGTAGTAATCAACATTTTTACTTACCGCTATTTACTGATTAATTGAACAATGAGTTACTTAATGCAGATGTGGCCTAGCAGTTTCCCAGAAGGCATGCCTATATATTCAAATTTGCGCCAAAATAGCACTTGTCCATCAGGAACGGCTCTTATTCGCAGAACTACCATGAATGACTTAATATATGCCAAAACCCTTCAAAATCATGTGAAAAGTCACGGTGCAAATGTCAAAAGTGGTATTAATGACGGAAGCCATGTGAGTAACCCTCTTTCATGTGGTTGTGAGTGTGTCTGTAGCGTCTCTCTTATAGTTTTGACAACGATTTTTTTAGCTTTCTCTTTAAAGTCGACTATGAATATATAATATAAAACTATTATAGAACGGCAAACGAAGAGA